TTTAACCCCACTGTGAAGCCTCTTCTAAGGATGCCTAGCCTGAAGAAGTTACCCTCCTCCCTCCGGACAAACCTCAGGGGATCTCTCTCCCACTGCAACTCTCTCATAATCTCTTCAGCCTTGAAACTGCTCGACCATGTCCTGAAGCAAACCAGGTACTACAGCCACATCACCTTTCTTAGTACCTGCCTACGGAACCAGATCATCCAATGGACTACAGTCCACATTCAGGCCTTCCCAGTTTGGCTCCAACCGTGACAATGTCTACATTCATAGCATTGAGATCGTTCAGAAGCGTTTCTCCCTGTGATTCCTGAAACACACACTCGCAGCAATGCGCCGGCATCTCCTGGCACTACAATCAAGCCTACCCCAGCTCAGAGCCTCCCTCTCCCAGACCTGCAAAGGACCACTCCTGTTTTTTATTCTTCGTAGGATCCACAACCTGAACTCACAATTCTACTCAGCTTTATTGGACACTAAAAACCGTAAGTACAGTAAACTTACTGGTGCCTACCACCCAAAACGGGCTTCCTCCACCTCCCAAATCCCCAGCCGTACCCAGGACCTTCCCCACAATGTGCCCGCTGCCATTGGCCATAAGGCCACTGTCAGAGAACCCACAGATGACGTCACATCCACCACCGCCGGGTACCCCACTTCCGGGACAGCGAACGCCATCGCTGCAAATGCCACCGCCTCCATTTCCGAGACCAACACCACAGACCCTGAACACGAGCCTACCGTCACCGCTGCTGCCGCCGCCTACTACCCCGCTCCGCCCACCGCCGACGCCGCTCCGCCCATCACTGACGCGAACGCAACTCCGCCCACCGCTGACTCCGATGCAACCCCGCCCACAGCCAACGCCAATGTCGCTCCGCCCACCGCCTCCACAGCCAGCAGCTCCAGAGGAGACAGCAACACTCAGCCCTGCTGGGTCTTCACCATCCCCCCAGACCTCCCCCTTACTGAGGACGAACGGTCAGTCCTCAGTAAAGGGCTCACCTTTGTCCCCCTCCACCCACACATCAACGAATACTGTCACGTTTGGACATTGAGCAGTTTTTCCGCCGCCTCCGCCTCCACGCTTACTTCTTCAGCCGTGAACCTAACCCTCCCTCTACTGACCCCTTCTGCCGCCTCCAAAACACCCCCTCCTCCTGGACACCACCCCAAGGCTTCCTACCCTCCCTCGACCTCATCTCCAACTGCCGTCGAGACATCAATCGCCTCAACCTCTCCACCCCTCTCACCCACTCCAACCTCTCCCCCGCAGAACGTGCAGACCTCCGCTCCAATCCCAACCTCACCATAAAACCTGCGGACAAGGGAGGCGCAGTTGTAGTATGGCGCACTGACCTCTACATCGCCGAGGCCAGACGCCAACTCTCCGACACCTCCTCCTACCACCCCCTTGATCATGACCCCACCCCCGAGCACCAAACCATCATCTCTCAAACCATCCACAACCTCATCACCTCAGGTGACCTCCCACCCACGGCCTCCAACCTCATCGTTCCCCAACCCCACACCGCCCGCTTCTATCTCCTTCCCAAAATCCACAAACCTGAATGCCCTGGTCAACCCAGTGTCTCCGCCTGCTCCTGCCCCACCGAACTTATCTCCAACTATCTGGACTCCACTTTCTCCCTCTTGGTCCAGGAAGTCCCTACCTACATCTGTGGCCCATTTCTGATGAAGGGTCTAGGCCCGAAACATCAGCCTTCCTGCTCCTATGATGCTGCTTGGCCTGCTGTGTTCATCCAGCTCTACACCTTGTTATCTCAGATTCTCCAGCATCTGCAGTTCCTACTATCTCTGATACAAGCTTAAAATGTATCTGCTTTCATTAAAAAGCTCCAATCATCATCCTAGAAGCAGATAACAATTTTTTCAAAAATTTTCAAGCAAATGAAAGACAAGTACAAGCAATCATCCCCAACTTTCCCCCTTCCAACACACTTAAGCATCTCCTATTGATCTACCACTTTTAGACAAATGGAATTTGTACAGCAGGTCAAATTAGAAGGGGAAGTTCCCAATATTGCCACCAGCCTGACTACCTACTTATGAGCAAGCAACAGAATGTGGAACTTTTCTGTTGTCAAATGTACGATGTATGCAGAATAAAAGGATGGAAGGCAGACATGCCATTCTGATGATAGACTTCCACTGCTTAAATTCTCATTTGACCTTTGCTTTATCCTGCTAATTTAATGAAGAGGTTTTCCATATCACATCTTTAATTGGACTGAAAGTTCAGAAGAAACACTCAATGATAGTTTATTGCGCCTCATTAGAAATACTGGTTACAACATCTGTAACAATTTAAATGGATATGGCAATATTTACAATCGTATTACGAAGAACTGCATTACCCAAAACAGTGCGGACTTGTTCTATGTCAGATATAATTCACAGCATTACCGGTTCTGACAACTGCCAAAAACCAAGAAGAGGAGGACAACTAATTAAAAAATGAACATATTGAAAATACTCAGCAGGCCTGTCAACATGTGGAGAAAAACAGGAGTTTAGTTCTCAGGCTGATGACCTTTCAAGAGTACACAGAAACGTTAGTGATATAATAAATGTTCAATAAGGGTGAACCCTTGCAAGGTCTAACTATTATTTGAGTATTCAGAGTCAACAATGATTACTACGCAAAAGAGATCAAGAAACATCACTGCAGACACATAGGTATTGTACTAATTACACTTAAAAGTCTCAATTAAAGAATCAATGGATAAAGTATTCATTAAGAAGAGATAATCAACACGGATTTGAAGAAAGGGCAGTGAATCAAGCAACAAATTGACACGAAAAAATGTCTAGTGAAATTCTCATATACATCATTAACAAAGATGTGTGCTCGTATAATATAGCAATTGCCTAGCTACTTTTTCCAATTACTTCTACAAAAGGAGGAGTTTCACTCCACAGGAACATCTCCAGTAAGAAATGGGGTTGAGGTATGCAGTGAGATAGCAATGTGAAAAAGTTAAGGTTAAAGAACAAGTTGAGAGGTCAGTTAAGCCCCAACTCGGTTCTGATGGATTATGCCATGAGATAGTTTAAAAAATTCTAGAGGCAATAACAGAGGCATTATCAACAAGTGTAATCTTTAAAAATAAAGCAATCCTAGAAACCGTAACCTAATTACTTAATGGCTGCAGTAAGGAAACATTCAAAAGAAAAAGAATGCAACACAAAAACTTCAAGAGATTTTGAAAAGCAAGACTGCCATCTTAGTGAATTAGTGAAAGACCTAACAGAAACATTAGGCAAGGGTAATGCCAAGGCAGCTCAGTTGCTGAGTATGTTCAAAAACCGAGATTAATAGATTTTGCATATTAAGAACATCAATGGATACAGGGATAGTGCAGCAAATTAATGTTGAAGTAGGTTATCCACGGTTTCACTGAATGGCAGAGAAGACTCAAAAGGCTGAACAAGCCTCCTCCTACTCCCACATTTTTTTTAGTTTATATATAAACCAACACACAAACACATTTTAGAAGGCCTTCAATAAGGTGGGATATTAAAGTGCACAGTCAGGAACCAGTTTGAGAATGAATATGGTTGCAAATGGATAATGCAGTAGAAATAAAGAGACTTCACTCATTCCGGCTGAAAATGGAGGGTGATGCCAGCAAGAATTGTTCTGGAACTACTGCTGTTCACCACACGCACCATTCATTTTAAAACCGCAGGACTACAATTGATGTAGCTAATAATGAGAAGACTTGGATTAGATCAAATTAAAACGCAGACACATTGGTTTTCAAAATGAGGAGATAAATAGCAAATACAATTTAAGATAGTGAGATGTTCTAATCTTGAGGAAAAATACCCAGGCCACAATCCTTGGAAGATAAGAAATTAAATGTGGTCTTAAAGAAAGAAATGTATTGCTCCCATAGCAATACAATTTGTTGCAGTCATAAAAGTGCAGGCAAAGTGCCCATTTCTGGAAGCATAAAGCAAGGAAACAATATAACATTTTTATGTAACTTTAGTTGGATCAAACTTGAATGACTATATGCAGTTCTACCGTCCACAATATAAAAAGAATTTGAAGCTCTGAAGAAAGTGCAGAAAGGTTTAGGAAAATGCTACCAGAATTAAGATATTGCAAATAACAGGCAATGTTGATCACACTGACCTACTTTTACAAGGAAAAGTAACAATTAGAGGAGAGATGGTAAAGGACTTCAAAATTGTAAACAGCATCAAATGGCTGGGATGTTGAGATACAATTTCCATTTGAGGTGATGTCCAGAATAAGGAGATGGAAATATGACAGCCACGAATAGATCAAATGAAGTTTGGAGGAATTTCCTTTCAATCAAAGGACAAAAGTTTCACACTTCTCAATAGCAAATTGGACTAAGTTCCTGATCATACAGTATTGGATGGTGGCTGACATTGGGGGAGTCAATCAAGGTCGTGGTGTGATGGAGGTTGGTGTTGTCAGAATATATGGAGAAACTAACATTGTCTTTTTGAATGATGGGCTGACAAGCAACAAATACAAGAGAAAGCTAATGGTGGAGTGGTGGAAGAGAAGCTTTGGAAATTATTCTCTGGGTACTTTTAGCTAAATGAAAATGAAACCAAATGAGTACATTTACATCCAGCTGGACAATAGTGAACAGAATTTGTTCAGAAGGGAATAGCATGGTCAATAACATCAAAGACTGCAGAAGGAAGGGAAAGGGTCAAGGATGGATTGTTTTTCTTTGTCACTTGCACAATGCGTGAATCTGACATCTGTAATTTTGGTACAACTGCAGGGGTAGAATTCAAATTGGAGGGATTCAAACAGATTAGTACGAATATAGAATTCACTGCCACAAGGAGTGATTAAAGAAGATCGGATCGATGCATTAAATAGAAGGATTGCTGTATACATGAGGAACAAAAGAAAAGATGAAATTGAGGATTAGGGAGGGAAGAGGAAATTAGAGCTAAAGCCAGTTATTGTAGAACTTAAACACCAATATGGATCAAATGATTTGTTTCTCTGCTGATATTGTTGATGGTTCTCTCAGATATGGTCCTCCTCACCTTGAAATCTGCTGTCATTACCTTTTTATTGGGGAAAAAGAAAGGTCTTAATTCCCTCCCTCATGTTGCAAATAAGGAACCCCATTTCCAATATCCTTTTACATTACAAAGCCCTTGAACATGTTGTCAACTCCCAATCACTTGCATTTTTTCTAGAACTTCATGCCTGAATTTCACCTAGTCAGAATATTTTGTCTGCCACAGTGCCAACAAGGCCCTGGACAAAGTCATAAATAGGCTCTTATTCAATAGTAAAGGTAAATTATATCTCTTTTACTTCTCACCCTGTTTGCAACCTTTGATGCAGTTAACAACACTATTGTCTTCCAATCCTTGTTAAATGTCACTCAGCTGAGTTGGATTTCACTGCTTTGTTTTATTTTTATCTATTCTGTCCCAATCACAGAATCATCAATGATGACTTCTCTTCCACAACCTACACAGTATCTCTGGCATCTCACAAGGGTCTTTCCTTGATCACAATTAAGTTGAGCATCATGTAGCCCAAATGCCTGAATACCCATTTATCAAAACAAATCTCCTATGGGAAACAAGAGTGCTTACAGTGTTTCATATCAACATAGTATGAAAACACTTAAACTGACAAGTGCACGCTGACAACACACCGCTCTATGTCACCACCATCCCAAGTCGTCGGAGTACTTAACTGGCACCTAGCCATGGATAAGCAGAACTTACATTCAATTAAATATTAGGAAGGCTGAAGCCATGTCTTTGTTTCCTGCCACAAGCACTGTACCCTAGCCAGTCTCTCTGGGAGTGTCCAAGGTTAAACCATATGGTCACAACCTTAATTTTATTTGATGCAGAGATGAGCTTCCAAATACATGCCATGCAATTAGGACTGCTTACTTATGCCTCTAAGATTTCCTGACCATGCCCAATCTCAGCTCATCTGAGATCAAAGCCCTCAGATAACTCTGGCTTTACTATTCTAATGCTTAACATGTTCAAAGCTCTGCAAACGTAAGATCACAAAAAAGAACTCTGCAGTCATACTTCCAGCAAATTCCATTCAACCAATCATCCCTGCCTCTAGATTAAACAACGCCTTAATTTTAAAAATATCTATTTCAATAACACAATTGTCTTCAGGAATTCAGATGACATCAGTGATGACTCAATGAAATCATAGTGATTACCTGTTTGCCAATGCCCGTACTCAGTGCTGTTTCAGAGCTGAATGCACAATGAAGCACGGATTTATTCTCGATTAAATGCATCAATTTCAATCTCACAATCAACACAAAGAAAAGTGAAGTAACACACCAGCTTGCTCCAGGAAAGCCCTATCCAGAGCACAAGGTTTTAAAGTTTTATCAATGATTTGTAGCTCGGGTTGTAGGTGAGGTTGTTGACTTGCTCGCCAAGCTGGCTTGTTTTTGTTCAGACGTTTTGTCACCATGCTAGGAAATATCATCAGTGAAGCCTCTGATGAAGCGATGTTATTCTACTTCGCTTGGAATTTATACTGTCCAGTCCATTATGGTGAGTAGTGTCATTTCTGGTTTTATTCTGCATGGGTTTGTATATGGGTCCAATTCTATATATTTGTGGATTGCATTATGGGTTGAGAACCGTGCCTATGGGAATTCCCGTGCATGCCTATGTTTGGCTTGGGCTACTATAGTTTTGTTATACCAGTTAAACTGATGTTAGTTCTTTCTATGCAGGTAACAGGAAGAGCACCTATACAAAATCTTCGTTATGAACGGATATCCCTGAAACTTCATCCACGGGTGCCTACTAAATAAACAAAAGGACACAGTATGCCCTAACACACTGATCACAGTGCCCTACATCAAGAACATATCAGAACTGACGAGATTCCTAAGGAATCATAGTAGCACACAAGCCCAGAGCCACTCTACAACAAATACTCACAAGGATTAAAGACCTCATTCCCACGAAATGCAGAACCAACACAGTTTACAAAATACCACGCAATGGCTGCCATAACCATTACGTCGGACAGACAGGAAGGAAACTAGCCAACAGAATACACAAAAATCAGCTAGCAACAAAACGATATGATGAACTTTCTTTAATATCAGTAGACTCGGACAATGAAGGCCATCAGTCTAACTGGGACAATATAACCATAGTAGCTTAAGCCAAACATAGGCACACACAGGAATTGCCATAGGCATAGTTCTCAACCCATATTGCAATCAACAAACACATAAATTTGACCCCATATACAAACCTATACAGAACAAAACTGGAAATGAAACTACTCACCATAACGGACCGGACAGTACAAATTCCAAGCCGAGTAGAACGACATCACTTTGTCAGAGGCCTCACTGGTGATGTTACCTAACATAGTGATGAAACATCTGAACAAAAACAAGCCAGCTCGGCGAGCAAGTCAGCAACCTCAAGGTTTTTAAACGATGACCAAATCCTGTCAGTATTGGATAAATTCTCTTATCTCAACAGCACACTCTCTCACGATGTCTATATTGACAACTAGAAATATGCAAAAATTGCCCAAAGAGAAACTTTTGGCCAGATTTCAAACATTAGTCTGGGAAAGAACAGTACATATACCTGTCGTGTTGAAAATCCATACACCAATAGTGCCACCCAGACTAGTCTATGAATGAAACACATGAACTATGTATCAGCATCATACCGAGAAGCTCAACCACTTTCGCTAGAGCTGCCTTGTGAAGCTTCTGATGATTATATGTCAGGACAGAATACCAGACACGAAAGCGGTCACTTAAGATGGCTTGCCAAGCATTTATACTACATTGTGACAATCAAGGTGGGCCTGTCATATAGCCAAGTTGCCTGACATTCTTTTATTGAAGAATACCTTCGATTGAGATCTTGCTCTGGGTGCTCTCATAAGGGTCAAAGGAAGAACTACAAAGGCACTCCGAAGTCGTCACTTAGGAGCTTTCATACCAACTTCAAGTTCCAGGAGAACTAGTCTAGGATTACTATTCCTGCCACAACTGAATATAAGATAGTGCGACTCCTTTGAAATGTAAATCAGAAGTGCTCGCATGCTCATGAAGGACAGTCAAGGCAAGAAGCGTCAGCGGTTACATAACAGTCAGTTGCTAATGGCAAATTTAACTGGACAAATGAAATAGCTGAACACTCAACTACAATTTTTTCTAAATCAAAGGAGCTGACTGATTTACCAAAGTATCTCAATAGACTTAAGTTTTTGTACTTGAAGATGTTCATCTCTATGCATAATCCACAAGATAGGATTTAGCACAAATTAATTTCTTCGACTGAAATGCAATTTCATACCTTATGTGTGTGGCCGGAAGGGACTCATACTGGCGAGATAGAAATATCTCTCGGTGTTTAAGCTGATGTCTTTGTTTCTCTGTCAAATCTAAAATGCTTGGGGTTTCCAGTTCTTCCTCCATTTCTTCTGCACAGGATAAAATACAAAATATATTAGCTTAAAAAAATCATTTTCTTGGGGAGGCTTTGAGCTGTTAAAATTTTTTTTCCCCACAGGGAAGGTTATATCTTCAAACAACACACCACACAAATTTACAATGCAAGGCACCAAATTACTTTCTGTATTCGTCCTAGCTGGGCTGAAATATATCCTTGATCTTTTGAAGCAAATTCAGTGCAGCATGTAACACAATAGACAATGATCATGTGTACAGATAGATCGTGAAATTGATCCTTGAGAGTACTGGGGGCACAAAAAGGCTTGAGAGATTGGGGAAATGTGGCAAAATTATAATACACTTGCCTGAACCTATTGTACAACAACGCAATTCTGCATTCAGTAAATAATCGTTAGCTCCAGCTTTCAACAACACTATTTTAAGGAATCAATAACAGGTTCTGCATTTTATCAGAGGGGCTAGCTGGCAACAGCTGGCATAAATTAGAAGCCAAGATCTTCTGTAGGGTCTTCCGAAATAAATTATTGAAAGATTTGTTTGCTTTCATGTCACTGATTTTGTACTTTTTCTCCAATATGATCTTTCATACAAATACAAAACTGCCTAATTATAAGCAAAGAATACCTACGAGAGCCGAATGAAACTTAATAATGATGTGGCCCATGTGGTTATTGAAGATTCCTGGGTCCAGTCAGGGGAACATTATAACAGCTTGGTGTGGGAATCACAGAGGCAAGACATAGGCTGAATAAGAAGCAGACATGTTAAACATTAGACCAGTGAGAGGATCAAAATTTGTGACAGAGCACCTGTGGGATTGAAACTTCAAATGAATAGAGCATCAGGGTTGCAAAACAAAAAAAATCCCTGAATACCTCTCCACAGAAGTTCTCCCTCAACCTTGCCATTTTATGTGATCCTGCCATTTCATGTGGCCTTGGTACTTCCACCAAGATGGTCACAGATGAGAGCATCTTTTGTCACCTCCTTACATCATTCTCCACGAACATCCGCTATCCCAACTTTATTCTATAACTTCCTCTGGAAAAACATTCTGCATTTACTTAATACTTCATTTCCAAAACTTTAACAATTCAGCTTCTGATCCTTCAATCCCCATGAGTAAATCAGTATCATATCAGTAAGCTCCATTCATGAGCGGTCAGGAAAGAGTGCACTTTGCGTGAGGCACAGCTAGAGTGAGTGGGTGTATCTGAAAATCTGGTGCACGGTGGCAATTTGGTGCAAAGGGGAGAGGTGCTTTTTGCTTCAGAGTTTGTAAGACCTATATTCTATCATAAGGATCAACAGGAAATAAGTATCTGAAAGTTTGATATTAAGCATCTTCCAAAAGGTATATTTTAAAGGGTTTAAAGAGTTCCCTTCCTGCTCCAAGTAGGAAATTAGGAATATTTCCAGTGTCTAGGATTAGTACATGTGCAGGAATTATCTCCAGTTGCAGCTCCTGAAAGCCCAGGTTTTGGAGCTGGAGCTGTGGATAGGACGACAATGGAGGACCCATGAGACGGAGAGTATCATGGATAGCACAAGTAGAGAGGTGGCCACACTGCAGGCTAAGACCCCAAAGGCAGGAAGGGAACGGATGATCATCAGAAGGAGCAAGAGGACTAGACAGAAAGTGAAGGAGTTTCCTGTGGCTATACTCCAGTAAAACAGATATACCATTTTGGATACTGTTGAGTGGAATTGCTTTTCAGGGGAAAACAGCAACAGTCAAATTCATTGCACCACTGGGCTCCTGCATAGGGGAAGATTAAAAAGTATACAAATGCTACAGTTATCAGTGATTCAATTTTAGGGGAAATAGACAGACATTTGTGTTCAGAATGAGACTCCAGGAGCACTTCCTAGTGCTAGGGGTCAAGATATCTCAGAGCAGCTACCAGGCAGTCTGGAGGGGGAAGGTGAACAGCCTGTGGCAGTGGTACACATTGGTATATATGACATAGTTTAAAAAAAGGATGAAGTCCTAGAAGTAGAATGTAAGGAATTAGGAAGTAAGTTGAAAAGTAGGACCTCAAAGGTAGTGATCTCAAGAATACTACCAGTGTGTCACATGCTTGTCAGAGTCTAAACAGCAAGTTATGTCAGATGAATACTTGGCTAAAAAGATGGTGGAAAGGGGATGGTTTCAGATTTCTGGGAAATTGGGTCATTTCTGGAGAAAGTGGGACAAGTACAAACTGAACAGGTTACACCTGGGTAAGATGTCCTATGGGGAGGATCTGCTAGAGTTGCTGGGAAGGTTTTAAACTAAAATAGCGGGAGATGGGAACCGACACAAGGAGTCAGAGAAAGAGGTATCAAGGAGAACAAAAAAGCAAAAAAGGAAATTAGAAAAGTGAGAGGCAGAGAAATCAAGGGCTAGGATCAAAGAGGGACACTGTGAAAAATAATGGGAATGGAACAGACAATGTTAAAACGTCAGGCCCTAAGACTCTACACCTTAATGTGCAGAGCATTCCTAATAAAGTCCTTGAATTAATTACACAAAAAAATGAAAACAGGTATGATGTAGTCAGCATTACTGAGACTTGGCTGCAGGGTGACCAGAAGTGAGAGCTAAACATCCAGGGGAGTTTAGTATTTAGGAAGGACAGACAAAAAGGAAAAAAAGTGGCACAGTTGCATTGCTAATTAAAGAGAAAAATTAATTCAATAGCAAGGAAAGATATTAGCTCCAACAATGTAGAATGTATCCGTATGGATATATGAAATGTGAATCATGCTTGACAAATTTACTACAGTTCTTCAAGGATGTAACTGGTTGGGTTGATGAGGTGAAGCCAGTGGATGTGGTTTACGTAGCATGTAAAATTAAAGCACATGAGATCGTAGTTAGTGTATTGAGATAGATAGAAAACTGGGTGGCAGACAGGAAACAAAGTAGGAATAAACTGATCTTTTTCTGAATGGTAGGCAGTGACTACTGAGATACCACAGGGATCAGTGCTAGGACCCCAGCAATTCACAATATATATTCATGATTTAGATGAGGGAACTAAATGCAATATCTCCAAACATGCAGATGACACAAAGCTGGGTGGGAGGGTGAGCTGTTAGGAGGGCGCAGAGATGCTTACGTGTGACTATAACGAGCTTAGTGAATAGGCAAACATAAAGCAGATGCAGTAGAACGTCGAAAAATGTGAGGTTATCCACTTTGGCAGCAAAAGCAGGAAGGCGGATTATTGTCTGAAGGTCTATAAATTGAGAGAAGGGAATGTGCAAAGAGACCTCTTGTGACCTTGTAAACCAGTCGCTGCAGGTAAGCATGCAGGTACAGCTGGCGGTAAAGAAAGCAAATGATATTTTGGTCTTCACAGTAAGAGGATTAGAGTACAGGAATAGGGATGTTTTGCTGCAATTATATAGGGCCTCGGTGAGACCACATCTGGGATTTGTCAGAAGTTTTGGTCTCTGAGGAAGGACCTTCTTCCTAAGGGAGTGCAGCAAAAGTTTATCAGACTGATGTACGAGGACAGACTGAGTCACTTAGGAGTATAGTCACCGGGGTTCAGAGGAATGACCATGTTGGGGGGGTGGTGGTGGTGGTTGTCTCATGCAAGCCTATACAACTCTAAAACAGGACTAGACAGGATAGAGGTGTAGAGCTGGATGAACACAGCAGGCCAAGCAGCATCAGAGGAGCAGGAAGGCTGACGTTTCGGGCATAGA